TGACCAGCACAAGGACCAGCACGTGACCAGCACAAGGACCAGCACATGACCAGCAAAAACCAGCATCCCAGTGTCAAAACTTACCTAACCAGCATATGCTGGTTTTTTCAACAGGGTTGAAAGAGAAAGACTTCAAGAAGTAGGACTGATGGGATCTGATAATACATATCTCACTCAAAGTGTAATTAGGAAATGTTTCAATGCAGTCCAGAGCAGAGGCGGACAAAGTACTCAACTCCATTACTTGAGTGAAAGTACAGATACTGCTGGTCAAATATTACTCCATTACAAGTAAGAGTTGTAAAGACAGATTTTTACTTAAGTAAAAGTACAGAAGTACTTGCTTTTAAAAGTACTTAAGTACCAAAAGTAAATTTCCTTTTTATGTGTAGCCATTCAATCACATCTGAACAGAGTAGACAGTGAAATCCTGTAAATACAGAGTGATAAGGAAGAAACAAAATCAAACCTGCTTTAAAACCCAGCAACACAACTGTAGAAATAAATATCACATTTGCAACTGGTCAGTGTTTAAAAAATGCTGGGAAATCACTTCATGTAGCCCCACAAAAGTGATTAAAACGTGACTTTCTTATTTTTCAGACAGTTTATTAGTAGAGAAGAAAAAAATCACCCACTGACTTTCAAAGCTGCTGCAGAGTAACGACTTTCTACTTCGAGGACCTTGATAGAAATGTAGTGGAGTGAAAAGTACAATATGTGTCTTTCAAATGTAGTGAAGTTAAAGTCATAAGTTCCCAGAAGAATTAATACTCAAGTAAAGTACAGATACTCAAAAGGTGTACTTAAGTACAATACTCAAGTAAATGACCGCCTCTGGTCAAGAGTTCATGAGGAATTGTTTCAGTATGACAGAATATAATCCCCCTGTTCTGCAGGTGTTCAGCAGGGGGCGCTAATGCACCTATAAGCTGCTTTGCCAGCCGCCAATAAAACACCAAAGAAGAAGAAGAAGCCGCAAAGATGTTCAGCGAGTTCAAAGTTTTCCTAACACACCAGGTGTGAAGCCCCATAAAGGATCATATTGACGGTAAGCTCGGTCAGCAGCCCTCATTAATACCGTGTCAGGTTATAAGATGCTGTTCTGCGTGTTTATCAGATCGTAGTAACTACATGGATTGAAACCGAAAGTGAAAGTAAACCAGCGGACTGTGTTCCTCGCTGCATGCGCTACACGAGACGAGAGCTCAGACCCCAGCGGCGTCCTTTCCTTTTAAACACATTAATAGCCGCAATTACTATAAAGCTAAATGATATCAAGCACCACTGCCTTTTCGTTTTCTTCCAAATATAAACAACTCATTTCGTTTTCATTTAAAAATCTAAAACATATTAATGTCCGGTTTAGGTAATATTGTGCACATATACTCTGATTATCTTCACTGCACGTTTAATAAAATGAAATATGGCAAGCACAACTCTGCCTTTTTTGTTAATGTCAGTTTTACTGAACAATAATCGCCATTATAAAAGTATAACTATAAAGTATTTCTGTAATAGGAAATAAGACAAAAGCAAACGATTCCCTAATTCAGCTTGCATTACGATTAATAAACAAATAATGAAACAGAACTTTGTGCTCAGTCAAAACAGTATGAGCTGGAAGCAACGATAGATTCCTGAGACCAAAGACTGGCCCTGAAGAGTTCTATCTGGTGTTTATCCGCTACAGAGGCACCAGAGCAGCGCCAGAGCAGCGGGGACTGTCGGAAGCACTGGCCGAGCTTCGGCTCCTCTGGCCGGGACCCGTGAGCACTGAGCGCCGCGGATCGGCTCCTCTGGCCGGGACCCGTGAGCACTGAGCGCCGCGGATCGGCTCCTCTGGCCGGGACCCGTGAGCACTGAGCGCCGCGGATCGGCTCCTCTGGCCGGGACCCGTGAGCACTGAGCGCCGCGGATCGGCTCCTCTGGCCGGGACCCGTGAGCACTGAGCGCCGCGGATCGGCTCCTCTGGCCGGGACCCGTGAGCACTGAGCGCCGCGGATCGGCTCCTCTGGCCGGGACCCGTGAGCACTGAGCGCCGCGGATCGGCTCCTCTGGCCGGGACTCGTGAGCACTGAGCGCCGCGGATCAGCTCTGACATCAGGGAACCACTTCTTCAAGCAGGCGCTGTCTTTATAAATAAACCGCAGATTTCAGTTTTAAACAACTACATTCTCACCTGAAATACTCTTAGAACTGCATTTCATGACACAATAATAGTAATATTTAGAAAATTACTCGGGTTTTCTCCTTAATGCGCCATTAACGCTCGCTGATTGGTGCGAAATGCATTGTGGGATACCTGGCTGCCTCAGGTTGGCTCTGGAAGCATGCTGGATAACTAGGGCCCTAGCTCAGTCCTTCAGAGGCTTGCAGGCTAGTCCTCCTCGGCATTAAACGCTAGAATGAGACGCATGTTCCCGCCCTCACCGCCACCGCACGGAAATACTGATGAAACTCACTTTTGGAAAAATACTTTGTATTACAAATCTTTGTTATTTGGCTTTCTATTAATGCAATACAATGAATCACAGCCGTCTAGTCTCCCCGTGGCTAACATTGTTGTCAGTTTAGCGTTTCGTGAGTAATTTACACCAAAACAAAAAAATAACATCTATGCTTTCATGTCCGAAAACATTGTTTTTGTCTTACATTTCATGATAAATTCAGAGAAGCTCAGTACTGACTCTTCGTTTTTCGTCAGTTTATTTTCCTGAGATGCAATGGGAACAAAGGATGCATCCTTCAGTTTCAGCTGAATGAAGGACGTGAGAACATCCCAAAATAACAGGGCAAACGTTCTGGCAAGGTTAAGAACAAACGTCTTTCCAGTAACCTTAAAGGTAGGGTAAGCGATTTCGGAGACTCCACCCTCTCTGCGTCATCACTCGGTAAAGCCACGCCTCCTCCGAAACACATGAGCACACACAGGCCGAGCAGAGGCTAACCAGCGGCGCGACGAGTGGAGGATCGGATGCAACTAGGGCTGGGCGATGTAGCAAAAATATCATATCACGGGTTTTTCTTTTTTTTTTGTCATTTTATCTCAAGAACAAAGATACACATTACAAATACACATAATATACAAATAAAACAAACAGTGTTTTATTTTTAGGTACAATAGGTGTATTTAGCAGGAGCATTCAAGAAGCTGAATGAACAAATATAAGAATAAAACACTGTATAGACTGATTCCTATTAAAGCAACTGTATTAAAGTTCTTCAGTCAAGAGTAGTGAGTGATTTTCCTCTTTGTGTTCTATTAACATTAAAGCAATATTTCACTGTTTACTTTCATTTTAGACATAACCAGCTGTCTATGAGTCTATGTAAACCTTGTGTGTTTTGACAGTTTTAGCGCAAAAGATAACTTAGTCCAGTAATCAGGCGCTGTTTGACAGGCTTTTAGTGCGTGCGCTTCGGGTGTACATGCTCAGAAAAGGCGCATGCAGTAACAGCACCGACAAGGCTTTAAAGCACATGCAAATAATGTCCTTTTATGATTGTGAATAAGTGCAGTCTCCTCTGAGAGTAACTACCTCTGAGTTAACACTGATGTGAATATATGTCGCGTTGTACAGTAACGTTATATACAGTATAATACATTTAGACCACTTATCTTAGTGATTGCTATCAGGATGTGAAGAGACTTTTAACCAGCATAACAAAACATGGTTTTTAACCAAATCACCTACAGCATTTCTGCTACATTCATTCTTCAGTGATGGGCCGCCGCACCAAAAATCATCCCCGCCACGGCGCAGCAGACAGAGCAGGACTTGAATTTCGGCGTGGGATTGCGGGTATTGCGCATCATTCTACTCATTCCTGCAGGTTCCGCGCTTGACAGATGATGGAAGAAAAGCAAAAAGACGTGAAATTGAACTCAGTACAGTACCGCACACATCAGCCGCCAATGAAACAGTGCGACTACAGAATTGAGTTCTGTTGTGCGCCTTATTGCGTGTGAATGGCCAAATACATACAGAATTGTCAAAATGCCCATCTTGGCGAGTATTCACGTAAATACAGTCGGTGTATAGGCTGTTAAGTGAATCTAAACCGTTCAGAAGCAAAGCACACGTGTAACATTATATTATATCCGTGCCTGAGGTCATGTTTATTTACAGTTAAGACTATCTAGTCTATCAATTGAATAGATTATTCAGTTTCTGTAGTACCTAAATATTACTGTTAGACCTACCTGAAAAACTTAAAATTGTTTTTTGTTTGTGCTATTGCTTGTCATTGATTTATTTGTTCTTTATTATTATTGTTTACTTGTCTTTTTTGTTGTTTAAGTGCAGGTGGGTGGGGAGGTCTAACCACCAGGCGGAGGGGGAATGGTCCATGGGTAATAGTGCTGCCACCACAGCTGGAAACACTGACCTACTCTGCCTTTAATGGAACATTTGTTATCTGTTAGATCATAATAGAAGGTAAGTTATGTTGGCATAAAACGTTAGCATTAAAACATATTTATAGACAATTCATGAAATGTTTTTTTTTTCAGAATAGTTCGACTTAGTTAAGTTTAGTTATATTTAGTTTTACTTCTACTTTTGCAGGACTTAATTTTCCAATTGAGTAACATTAATTGGAACACTAGCAAGACATTTTTAGTTTGTATTTTGGTAGCTGGGATATGTGCTGAATTAATAGTTTGAATACACTGTAAATTACTTCGATTTAAAACATCTGCTAAATGCATAAATGTAATATTGATATAATGTCCCCAGTGTATAGGGAAGATGTACAGATATACAGAGAAGATATCAGAATTTGAAATGAGGAAGAGGAAGAGGAAGATATCTTCATCTCCAGAACCCAGCTGTGTGTCTCTGAAGAGCAGTCAATCCATAAATCCTCCTCCTAAATTCTGCGATGAACCAGTGACCTCTGACCCCAGGTGATTATCAACATGTATTTGGTGATTTATCTGCTGTAGTGACAATATTTTAAGACATTTATAAAAATCACTGCACAATGTCATTGTTTACTGATATAGCAAGATAAATCTAATGAAATGTGCAAATAATATAATAATACCTATTATTTATAGGCACCTTTTACGGCACTCAACGACACCTTACAACAAAAGTCAATAAAATACAATCTATACAAAACAAAGACAAACAAATCAAACAATCAAATCACTAAAAGCCTTTCTAAACCAATACCTTTTAATCTGAGTTTTAAACTGGGATATAGAATCCAGCTGGTGGATTTGCAATGTGAGGGAATGAGGCGCTGCGTTGAAACGCTTTGGGAACGCTTCTGCGTGACCGCGCTCTGGATCATGTGTGGAATGGTGAGACGTCACGGGCGGGGTGACGTAACGGCCGGGAAGTATAAAAGCACATGCGGTGGATACAGCAGCAGCTTCTGAAAGGTGAAGGAAGCACTCACAGGGATGCAGGAAGTATGGCATGAGACACAGCGTCTCGTTTCCTCGGGTTACATACGTAACCCAGTGACATTCCCCTTCAAGAACTCACACTGCGTCGAAACGCTTTAGGAACGAGAATGTCCACACCTTCATGCTTACAAGTCTCTGCCTAGTATGGATGGGCACAGCTAGGCTGAGAGAACAGAAGAGCCAGGAGTGGCGTCAAGGTTATAGAACCGGACAAACGTAAGTGGAGTGGACTAGGGCTGTCAAAATGGCTGAAAATCTACATTTGAATTTTTTACTTAAATATTAGCAATATTCAAATTATATTCAAATTTAAAAGGCATAATTTCAGTTAGGGGGAAAAAAGCTCTTTCTTCTCTCCTGAGGCCACAAGAGGGCGCATTGAGCAAAATATTATGCACATTTCTTCAAAGCATAATAAAATAACACGACTATCTTTGAAAAAAGTGCATAATGTTTAAAATAATAATTATAATTATTGTATAATAATTATATAATTAATAAAGTTGCTTAAACAATTAGAAACAAAACAGCATAATGCAACTATGTATAGTTTAATAGAAAGGACCGAAAACCAATCACAAAGAGTACTTTCTTCATTTAAAAACTTGAGATGCAGTGGGATGGGGAAAACCGCCATAAAGTCTTGAGACATGTTTTTTAAAACTTGAACTTACATTAATTTTACATGGCTTTCTAAACATGCGGCTCTCTGGTGCGAGACACGAGTGCAACGGTGATAGATGTCCCTCTAGAAAATGCGATAAATATGCGTTCTGTGTGAACGGCTTGGTTTCGGTTTTGACGTAAACAACATCATCCCCGCATTGATTGTTCTCTTTTTCTGCAATATTTTGAATGAACAACGTAGCAGCTCCGCATCTAGTGGGTTCAACTTCAACTGGATAGGCTAACAAAAGCATTAAAATGCAATGACACTTGCATAGTCATCGCATTTCGTGCGCCACTGATAAGACTGCCTGATGCACACCTAAAATTGTGGATTTTTATTTTAAATTCGACGAATATTCGAAATTCAAAATTTTTTTGACAGCCCTAGAGTGGACCATCCCACAGCGTTGCAAATATCATGTAACGAAACACCTGAAAGAAAGGCCTTGGAGGCCGCCATACCCCTAGTAAAGTGAACCTTGACCCCCAAAGGAGAAGGGAGATCAGAGGACTCATAGGCTATGGAAATAGCATCCACAATCCACCTATTTAGGGTCTGCTTGGCCGCAGGGAGACCTTTCTTAGAAGGGCATAGCAGACGAATAACTGATCTGACTTTCTTCACAGGGCAGCTCTCTGGACATAGAAGAGATGGCTATTAAAAATACAGTCTTGACTGTAAGGTACCGCTCCGAAACCTCCTCCAAAGGTTCAAAAGAAGGTTTACAGAGTGCTTCTAGAACAGTAGAGGAAACACATAATGTGGAGGGGGATAACCCTGCGGAAAACCGTTCTTGCAGGGACTGAACCAATCGGCAACCAGTCTTGGGCTGCAAGGTGATATGGCTGTGGCTATAGTCTTGGGCTGCAGGGTGATATGGCTGTGGCTGTAAACAATAGAGCGCTTACTGAACAACAGAAGCTGACGCTGTATCCACCGCACGTGTTTTTATACTTCCTGGTCGTTACGTCACCCCGCCCGTGATGTCTCGCCATTCCATTGGATGGATTACACACGTGATTCAGAGCACAGTCACGCAGAAGCATTCCCAAAGCGTTTCGATGCAGCGTGAGTTCCTGAAGGGGAACTCCATAATATTGGGGCTAAAGGCACTAGCTCCAAAATAACTTAACTTGACATTTGGAACAATCAATAGCCACGTTTCCACTGTCAGGCCAAAAGCGGGCGTGCTAGTGCGTGGCAGGGCCAGTCGCGTTTCCACTGTCACTTCCGGGGCTTGATCGGGCCTCGTCGGGGCTTCCTTGCGGCCAACGGCCAGGGATTTTCGGTCAAAGCAGGCCAAGTGGGGCTAGAGGAGTGGTCATGAACAAAGGCGGAGTTATCCGAGTTAGAGACGGTCTGCACCGCTGTTCATTTCCCATGTTTTCATATTAAGCTACCAGCTAACATCAACATTCAAGACATTTAGAACAATTTTAATGGCAAAACTCACTTTCAGACACCAGCGAGCATCTGAATTAAATTACGATTTGGACGTGATGGGAATTCTGATCACCGTATGAGGCAGAAATGTATTATACATGATGTTAAAGTCTGCATATGCTAACAATCGCTATAATAAAATCAATCTATGCTTATGAAAATACCAGAGAATGCTTGAAGAACTTAGACAAATCATATAAGATTATAATCATATATTTATTTGGTTTAATATTTGTTCTGTCTCCTCCATGTGTCTTTATTTATACCGGACTTCTGCATCCGCATATGTCATAAATTTCATATATACTGTGTAACTTATAACTCTGATTTTCTGTCTAATAACTCAGATTTTCCTGACTCCCACTGGCCCAACAGTGGAATAGCGGCTAATAAGTCTGCAAAAGATGATCTCTAGAGAATGTGAAAGAATGTATGGTTGAAGGAGATCAGATAAATAAGGAAGAGCCAAATCATAAAGAGCTTTGTAGGTGAGCAACAAAATTTTGTAATGAACATGGTACTGTACATGAAGCCAATGTAGCTGGAAAAAAAATAGGTGCTATGTGGTCAGAAATATGTGAATGCATTACAATGAACAGTGAATGTGCATGGGTCCAGCTGAGTTCTGCATTAACTGCAGTCTGTGAAGTTATTTTTCACACCAAATAAAATAGTTACAATAACCAATCCGTGATGTTACCAAAGCATGAATAAGAACTTCAGTGCTATGGTGAGAAAGTGATGAACAGAGTCTAGCAATGTTATGTAAATAAAAAAAAATGCAATGCATGAAATATTATTAATGTGTGAACCAAAAGAAAGCAAACCATCAAATATATGCCAAGACTTTTCACTTTGGTGGAAATATTAACTGAGCAGTTATCAATTCGATTGAGTTTTAGATGAAGTAGACTTAGACCCACCAAGAATGACTTCAGTTTTGAGAAGTTCTTAGTCAAACAAACGTTAACATCCTACAAACATTTAGTAAGTTCAAGAGGGGGATGGGAAATATTAGTGTGATGAAGTAGCTATCCCCGTTGGATACAGCGCACGCACACACTTACCGGACCACACACACACACACACACACTCACCACGCTGATTTCCGTCCCCTCCGTTTGCTTGCCAGCCGAGCGGATGTACATGCCATCTTGACAGCCCATGGACAGTTTCACACATTACATTTCCCTGTTTCAGATTCATCCTGTCCATACATACTACATAACGCATGCATTTTGTCTTGTTTATGTCTTGTGTTTGTCACAAGTGTTTGGCATGGTCATTCTTGCTGGTGGTGCCGGCAAAACCAAGCGATTGATCGTCACTCGCTTATGACTTCATTTTTGGTGCCGCGCTGGTAAAAAGGGAGGCAAGACTCACATTTTTCACTCATCATCAGAAGGGAAAAGTTGGATTTCAGACATTGCAGCGACCGGGCGAAAACTGTCATTTTGGCTATATATATATATATATATATATATACATACACACTCACTGGCCACTTTATTAGGTACACCTGTTCAATTGCTTGGTAACACAAATTGCTAATCAGCCAATCACATGGCAGAAACTCAATGCATTTAGGCATCTAGATGTGATGAAGACGACTTGCTGAAGTTCAAACCGAACATCAGAATGGGGAAGAAAGGGGATTTAAGTGACTTTGAACATGGAATGGTTGTTGGTGCCAGACAGGCTGGTCTGAGTATTTCAAAAACTGCGGATCTACTGGGATTTTCACACACAACCATCTCTAGGGTTTACAGAGAATGGTCTGAAAAAGAGAAAATATCCAGTGAGCGGCAGTTGTGGGGACGAAAATGCCTTGTTGATGTCAGAGGTCAGAGAAGAATGGGCAGACTGGTTAGAGATGATAGAAAGGCAACAGTAACTCAAATAACCACTCGTTACAACCAAAGTATGTAGAATACCATCTCTGAACGTGCAACACATCGAACCCTGAAGCAGATGGGCTACAGCAGCAGAAGACCACACCGGGTGCCGCTCCTGTCAGCTAACATATACAGACGCACACATTATACATTACATATATACATATTTACAAAATCATACTATATATACTGTGTGTATATATATATATATATATTTATAGTATGGTTTTGTAGTCCACGCATGCTTTGTATTACCGTAAGAAAGACATTTTATATCAGAGAAACAAATTTTTATTGTTTAGTACGTTAAACATTTATAGAAATATATTTATAAAATATATTTGAGAACAGAGTATTAATAATAAACATGGTCTAAACATTCTTAGACTCGTAGCATTCATCATGCACGCCTATTACTTTTATATCGTATTGTTTTATATTATATAGAGCATGAAAACATCATCTTGTGGTAACAAATTTAGATACAATGAAGTGCCTGTCGTATTCAAAATGTTTCACTCGATTTAAAAAAATGTAATCGGGAATTATAGTTTGGGAAAAACCCAACTAGTAAATGTGTTCAAGTTTATGCCACAATAACAGGTAAAGTAATGCAAAAAATAAACATTACGTACTCATTAGAATGATCTCCTCGGCTGGGTCAGGTTGCGCGTCGCATCTTTTTCCTTTTCTGAGGTAAATCCTGGGTTATTCATCTCAGCGCGACTTTTTCCAGAAATTAACAGTAGCCAAGATGAACTAGATGAACCTCACACTTTGTGCACGGAGCTGATGTGGACGTTTACATGCGGCGCATCTCACGAGGACGATTGTTATAACAAAAGCTAAAGTAGCTCGTGGGCGTGGTCACATTAACAATAATTAGATCAGACGGAGAAACTGGACATGGCGTTGGTTTCATACGGATTACTTTATTACAGAATATTTGTTTTCAACATGACTTCATTTAAAAGTAGACATTTCAAGCTTTCTATAGATATATTTCTCATGTCGTTGTGTCATGTATTTGCTGAGTTTCAGCGAGTTTCTAAAAGCAGTTCGCGAAGTCAGAGAAGACAGAACGCGCACCGTTTATTTTTGCAAAAGCACAAAGTTTTGTTGTTATTGTGAGTGTAAACAAATAAAAGTAGACACTTAACAGTTTCGAATGATGTATAACAATAAAATTGACAGAGTATTTTTAGTGTCTTTCACACTGATCCTAAAAAAAAGTAAGCTGGTCGCGCCGGCACGACCGTCGACCCCAGGGAGTTAACAAGTTTATACAATTCTTCCTCTCCTATAGTAGAGAATGCGTGGAATTGTTCCTCTGGGGATCTATAGCACACTATCTGATGCGATACTGTAGCTGACGGCTGCATGGTTACAATTTTATCTCTAAAAGTATCGATCTTGGAAGTAAAGTAGTTAGTTGACATGGTCTCCGCTGACATTCAGGGCTGTAGAGGACATCAGCATCTGATCTGGATACAGCCTGGATCTGGTGGCTACGGTGACCTCGGAATAAGAGAGAAACAGACTAATATTAGCGTAGATGCCATTCTTCTAACGATGTAGCAAGTACATTGGGTGTTATGGGAAGTGTTCTTTTGGATCTTTAACCCTCTAAGTGCCAAAGTCGCAAAATTGTGACAAGACGTCATACTTAATAAAATAGACTGTAGTTCCTAATATGGTGTAATATAATATAAATACATTTGTATTCCCTACCACTAGATGGCAGACATGTAGTACTTCGATTCTAGACCAAAATTACGTCACGTTCCTATTCAAAGTGTTCGAGGAAATAGCAGCGCAAGTGAGCTATCGTGTCATTAATGCGGAAGCAGTTCAGTTCATAGCGTGTGGGTAAATTGTGAGATTTGTGAGAGTAAATCGCCAAATGGCTAATAAAAAGTTGTACCGTGAGGATGTGTTGCAAATGTTATTCGCCGATTCTGACTCTGAAGGGGAATATTTGCCTTTTGGAAATGACGATCGGTCGTCTAATAATCTCGCTTCTCACGGTACATCTTTGCAGCGCAATGGTGCCGCTGTGCAAGCGAGAGTGTTCATGAAGCACAAACAAGTGATTATTTTCACCCTTTGCCCAACGGGGATGGGGGTGGCAGGGGTGGACGTGGTCGTAGTGTCCATAGGAGAGCTGTTGCTAGAGGTAGAGGCAGCAGGAGTAGGAGAAATAGGGCTGGAAGTAGCACTAGCTCTTTGGATCCAGAGCGCTCTGACTGGATCCAAAGAGCTAGTGCTACTTCCAGCCCTATTTTGTCCCAAAGAGGTGGGAGTGTCCGCGGTACACGGTGCAGTCAGTGTGGAGTAGGTCTGTGCACTGTGCCATGCAATGAGAGGTACCATACTCTCAAGAACTATAAACTGTGTCACCTAGATACCTGATTGGGCAGATAGCTGGTCAACTGATCAAAAAATAGGCACATGCATTTTACTATGGCGCAGTAATATAGCAATAATTTACTACTTTCTCCTGTTTTATTGTTGATTTCCTCTTTTGATCATTTGAAATGAGGACAAAAAGACAGCAACAAAAAAACATGCAAATAAGTTCAAACATCAATTCAATATCTACTATTTCCTGAATATTATGAAATATAAAATGGCCGCCCCTGATGACGTCATAATATGCAGATTAGACGAGTATATTTACACCCCACATAAACTTTCTGTCATGCCCAACATTTTTCTAATTTACTATCTTTAAGCCATTTCAAGCCACAAGCTTTTGAAATCTTGATGTCAAAATCCAGCATTTTTCCAAAAATCCCTAGCACCTAAAGGGTTCATCTAGATTTAAACTGACAGAGTGTGTCTGCCTCCCGAACAACATTAGGTAGATTGTTCCAGAGTTTGTGCGCTAAATAGGAAAAGGATCTGCTGCCCGCAGTTGATTTTGATATTCTAGGTATTATCAAATGGCCAGAGTTTTGAGATCGCAGCGGACGTGAAGGACTATAATGTGATATGAGCTCGCTCAAGTATTAAGGAGCTAAACCATTCAGATTTTAAAATGTATTCATTGTTCAATATGGAGCCAGTGCAGAGTTGACAGAACAGGGCTAATAGGGTCGTACTTCCTGGTTCTAGTAAGAACTCTAGCTGCTGCATTTTGGATCAGCTGGAGTTTGTTTATTAAGCGTGCAGAACAACCACCCAATAAAGCATTACAATAATCGAACCTTGAGGTCATGAAAGCATGAGTTAATGTTTCTGCATTTGACATTGAGAGCATTGGTCGTAATTTAAATATATTTTTAAGATGGAAAAATGCGGTTTTACAAATGCTAGAAACATGGCTTTCAAAGGAAAGATTGCTATCAAATAGCACACCTAGGTTCCTAACTGATGACGAAGAATTAACAGAGCAGCCATCGAGTCTTAGACAGAGTTTTAAGTTATTACATTTGGAGGTTTTTGGTCCAATAATTAAAACCAGTTTTTTTTCTTCTTCAGAATTTAGTATTAGGAAATGACTAGTCATACAGTTTTTATATCAACTATGCATTCTGTTAGGTTTGTGAATTTGTATGTTTCATTGGGCCACAAAGAAATATAGAACTGAGTATCATCAGCATAACAGTGAAAGCTAACACCGTGTTTCTTGATGATATCTCCCAAGGGTAACATGTAAAGTGTGAAAAGCAACAGTCCTAGTACTGAGCCTTGTGGTACTCCATACAGTACTTATGATCAATATGATATCTCGAATTGATGACGATCAGATAAGTAAGATTTGATCCATGACAATTCAATTCCACTAATGCCAACATTATTTTGTAGAAATCCTCACAGATACCATTTCTCTCTAAAAAAGAACAAACTGGAGTGCACAAACACATTGTTGCGCTTCTTCTCGCAAGAATGATGTTGATCACTAATTTCTGGCACACACCACACCTATCAAGGAAGGGTACTGTAGCCGGACCAGGGTTTACCATCCCGAATCATACTGTATTGTACTGTACCGAACCATACCGCTCAGTGGAAACGACCTATAATATTCCTGTAACACATCCATTAAAACCTCTCCTTGACACATCTCTCGACTCTTTCCTCCAAGCAGTTTCTCCCAGAATCCTCCAGTCTTTCCTCACAGCATGGAAATATTTTAAAGCATTCCACCTCTCATTTAAGCTACTTTTTCCTGATTTCTCCCTGCTCTCTATCACATCCTTTATCTCCTACCTTAACAGTGTTAAAGGCCTTCAAGTCGGGTCCATCAAAGGTTACGGAAGTGGCATCCAGTTTTTTCACAAACTAATTTACAGCACTCCCTCCCTTGAAATAACTAATTCTCAAACCTCCCTCTCAAACCTTGTTCTCTGGCGGTGGTCTCTTGGTTATTTGCTTCTTTGGGGGAGTTCTCTGGGTTTGGGTTATATTCCGAGTGCCTCCCCTCAGACAGCATGCCAAATATGCTTAATATTCTCTCAGTCTGATTATATGTAAGTGTAAACTTGTGAATGTGTGGTTTTGTGTTTACAGTGTGGATCATGGAGGAGAGAGCAGGATGAGAGCAGGACTACAAAAGTGTAGGTCTACAAACACACACACTTCTTGAGTAATCTATATTTATCATGCTTTAGTTTCCTCGGTAAATTACATATTTAAAAAAAGTAAATTTTTTCTGACAGCTGGACTGTTAATTATTAATTGATTAATTATATTTTATTTCTTATAGTTAATAGTTACGTTTATATTTCTTGTGTAAATACTTTTATCTTTTGCGGTTTTAATGTGATATATGAATACAAAGCTTAACCAAAAGATTAATCAGTCGAAACATTACTGATATTATTTTGCACTAGTGTCGTCACGATACCAAAATTTCAGTTCAGTCAGGACCACTCTGGCAGTAAAAAACTATTTATTGATTATACACAACATTTGGTTTGGTGGTATGGTTTCGTGTGTGGGGTTCAGCAAAACAATATATATAAATAGTAGCTGCCTGTAATAACCCCCCGGAACCATCAGCATAACATCAAGATAATGATAGTGGGATTGCTTGGGAAATTTGTCTTGGTGGCAGGGAGGGTTGGATGCGAGCTTGACTAAGCTGGAGGTGAGTGATAGTGCCACATATACTGTATATGCACGTACCTGAGATAGGAGAACCGTTGGGATTAGAGGGATCTGAACAACTGATAGTAAGCTGTTGCGGAACTCTGCCTACATGGCCTGTCTGAACTAACGCTTGCGCTAGATTAGTCGGTACCATTACCAGTAAAAACTCCTGTTACAATCATAAAATCTGTCTCTACTGCAAAATCAATCTCTTATTCACAGCATCTTTACACTTTGTTGCTTATAGAGAAAAAATAGTGAAGAACACTGAATAGTGAGCACATCTGTGAATAGTGAGGAGATTCTGGACTTTGCAAATACAGTCAAAGCTGTAAACACACAGACATCGTCACTGTTGTGTTGTTCTTGATGTATCTCTCTTCTTGTGTTTAGATGCCTGTGATCTCACACTGGACCCAAACACAGCAAACACTCAACTCATTCTGTCTGATGAGAACAGGAAGATCACAAGTGTGGAAGATCTTCAGCCGTATCCTGATCATCCAGAGAGATTTGAATATGCTCCTCAGGTTCTGAGTGTTGAGAGTCTGACTGGACAATGTTACTGGGAGGCTGAATGGAGTGGGAGGTTTGCTATTATAGCAGAAAAAAAGTAAATTTTTTCTGACAGCTGGACTGTTAATTATTAATTGATTAATTATATTTTATTTCTTATAGTTAATAGTTACGTTTATATTTCTTGTGTAAATACTTTTATCTTTTGCGGTTTTAATGTGATATATGAATACAAAGCTTAACCAAAAGATTAATCAGTCGAAACATTACTGATATTATTTTGCACTAGTGTCGTCACGATACCAAAATTTCAGTTCAGTCAGGACCACTCTGGCAGTAAAAAACTATTTATTGATTATACACAACATTTGGTTTGGTGGTATGGTTTCGTGTGTGGGGTTCAGCAAAACAATATATATAAATAGTAGCTGCCTGTAATAACCCCCCGGAACCATCAGCATAACATCAAGATAATGATAGTGGGATTGCTTGGGAAATTTGTCTTGGTGGCAGGGAGGGTTGGATGCGAGCTTGACTAAGCTGGAGGTGAGTGATAGTGCCACATATACTGTATATGCACGTACCTGAGATAGGAGAACCGTTGGGATTAGAGGGATCTGAACAACTGATAGTAAGCTGTTGCGGAACTCTGCCTACATGGCCTGTCTGAACTAACGCTTGCGCTAGATTAGTCGGTACCATTACCAGTAAAAACTCCTGTTACAATCATAAAATCTGTCTCTACTGCAAAATCAATCTCTTATTCACAGCATCTTTACACTTTGTTGCTTATAGAGAAAAAATAGTGAAGAACACTGAATAGTGAGCACATCTGTGAATAGTGAGGAGATTCTGGACTTTGCAAATACAGTCAAAGCTGTAAACACACAGACATCGTCACTGTTGTGTTGTTCTTGATGTATCTCTCTTCTTGTGTTTAGATGCCTGTGATCTCACACTGGACCCAAACACAGCAAACACTCAACTCATTCTGTCTGATGAGAACAGGAAGATCACAAGTGTGGAAGATCTTCAGCCGTATCCTGATCATCCAGAGAGATTTGAATATGCTCCTCAGGTTCTGAGTGTTGAGAGTCTGACTGGACAATGTTACTGGGAGGCTGAATGGAGTGGGAGGTTTGCTATTATAGCAGTGTCATATAAAGGAATCAGCAGGAAAGGAGGATGGAGTGACTGTTGGTTTGGATTCAGTGACAAATCCTGGAGTCTGTTCTGCTCTAATAATAGATTTACTGTCTGGCACAATAATAAATACACTTATATACCCACCGTCCGTTCATCCTCTAATAGAGTAGGAGTGTATGTGGACGTGTCGGCCGGCTCTCTGTCCTTCTACAGCGTCTCTGACACACACACACTCACACACTTACACACATTCAACACCACATTCACCGAACCCCTTTATGCTGGATTTAGACTTTATCAGATGAACTCCTCAGTGTCTCTGTGTGATATTAAAGAGCCTCCTGTGAGAATCATCAGTGATCCACACGCCGCCGGGTGAGTGAAATATACTGTATACTGTACTAGTGACAGATTTTCCAGACTGTGACTAATAGTTCAGGGCTCTGTTCTTCATACATCACTGAATATGTCCCAGTTAATGTGATACCAGATCCTCTAATCTTGACAATTCCTCTCTGGCAAATGTAGTTTTTTTAAGTGCACAGATTTGATTAGTATATTTGTTTGGAGTTGCTGTTTTTATTGAAAAAGTCACATGTATCGATACTAGAAAGCAGGGGTGCATTTCACATACAGCAATATAACTCGCTGATTAACTACCATAGTATGAAGAATCACTGGAGAAACTAACCAACTAGTCATGACTGTTTCCCAAAACCACAGTGCCATGATCTAAGCTCTGTCATTGATCCACTCGTTCAATATGTAGGACAGTCGTTAATGATGTCATGTGCAGGTGATGGAGTAATAGCTTCTGCTAATTAATCAGTCCGAGATCTCAGAGATGCTGCTGTAACGAACACTGAACCTGATGATGACTTCACTGTTTTTGTTCCCTGTCGTTTTGCTTTATTTGACATTTGATTCCTCACGATTTCCTCTTTCATGATACTCTGGGGTTCCCTTACACATTTATGCACAAGAGCACTCTTCAAACACAGCACTGGACACACTAAAATATATAGATCAAATTGTATATATTTAATTAGAATGAAAGGGACAGAGTGTACTGCATGTTAGTTTGCTTATTGTACTCAATAGCATGAGCTGTTTAACATGTCATTTAACAAAACAGAATGGGACACCATACTTGGAATTTGTGCTGTGCATTTAACCCATCCAAGTGCACACACACACACACACACACACAGTGAACACACACCCGGAGCAGTGGGCAACAGAGTATGTGAGCGGAGTGGAGCTGCAACAATTTCCCCTCCGTGCTCCAAGCATTCAACAATCACTCCACTCCATCTCCACTCCAGGTTCAGCATTCCCCGCTCCACTCGCCACTCCTCTGAGCAGAAACACCGTTCTGTCTTTGCTCCATGACGAAATTTGTGGCTAAAATATTTCAGTGTTTTGAAATATCACAAACGTCTGTTCAGAACTTATATTACAGTAAATGAAAAATAAATGCACTATACTAGAAGAATAGTTTTAACATGGTTTACTGGAACACTACAATTAACCCACGTCTATATTAAATGACTTTAACTCGCTTGTCTGTGCAGCTGTAACTTTTCTATTTTTAAGCTGATAAATCACAGGACAGCGCTGACAATAATTTTCAGCACTCCTGAATGTTTCTATGTGTAGTGCCCCTTACCCTTTCCACTAATGGGCGGAGCACCCAGTTTCTAATGATGTGTCTCCCGACGTAACTAACCTACTTCCTTCCCATTTCCCACTGATCACTGTACTTAAATTAAATGTTAAGTGGTGGTCTTTCTGAAAAATTGGTAATGTAAATCACCAAGGGCAAGTTCTTAACAATTCACACAATTTATTTTTAAAAAATTAAATCAAAGAAAGAAAATAATATAAATCTAGAGTAAATGGATTAAATTAAATACAATGTGTGTTGGTTGTTTTCTTTCACATGAAATTTTGGTTCTGAGAAGATACTTTATCTAAAGGTAATTTTAATACCTGATACTCAAATAACAATAGGTAAGGCAAGGCAAGGCAAGGCAAGGCAATTTATATTATTCATTTCATACACAATGGTAACTAAAATTGCTTTACATAAAAGGAAGTAAAATAATCATTTAAAAAATCATAACAATAAAACAGGGAACTTAAAAACATTTAAAATGATTTAGAAATTGAAATAAAATGAATTTAAAACAGTTAAAAATAGAAAATTATTATACATAAAATACAGTGCAATCAGTTCGGACGTAGCACAGTGCTCATTCAATAAATGCACAGCTAAACAGATGAGTTTTGAGTCTGCATTTAAATGTGACTAATGTTTTAGCACATCTGATCTCTTCTGGAAGCTGGTTCCAGCTGCGGGCGGCATAATAACTAAAAGCGGACTCCCCTTGTTTTGGTACTCAACTAATTGCTAATACTTAACTTGTATCACTAAGAAACAGTAATTCACTTCCCTTGTGAAATATGACACTAAAACAGCAGTCAGAATGCAAATACTCAATATAAATCAAATGAAACAAGCTAAATAGCAACGGTGTAATGTGGGCCCCACACACACACTCTCAGTTTCAATAATTCCTATATGTTGAAGGCCTGCATCGTCGCTTGAGAACGGTGTGGCCGTTAAACCCAACAAATGGCCTCTTCGCTCCGAAGAGCTAAATAAACAAACAAGAGTGCCTGTGTCCGCTTGTGTCAACACACGTGCTGTCCACCGAACTTGTTAGAAACTCCGTATTCGTCTGATGTCTCACCCGCGGTCCGCTGGATGACGAGAAATCCCGCAGTGCCAGAGGAATTCTAAACCGCGTGGGGATTTAGAACGCTATCTGGTTCCTCCATCCCGTATACTTATTCCTCGAAATGATTAAGAAACTTCCAACTTTCATTAAATATAAGATCTAGCCACTTAGATAGCGGCTATTTTTTGTCTCTCCCTCTTCACTCTCCACCAACTTCTCCAATCAGAATTCTCAGTACCTGCACAGGGGTGGGAGTAGGTAAAATACTGACCAATCACAAATAAAAGAACATACGTGCTGGTCAAATGCACATTTTGAGCAAGTACATTTCACATAAACATTTACTGTAATCACTGTAACATTACAACAAATGAAATGACTCTAATCTAATGATATGACTACATAACATTTATGACAACTTAACTCAGGAATGTCAGAAGCATCTACATATTGTCGCGGGGTGAATGAGGATCTGGACCCGGGATACTCGCCACACCCCAGGCGGGGGGCCAGGTGTTGCCCTGGTATTGTGGGGAAACACACAACTCGTTGTGGGGGTATTACGGGGGGGGGTTCGTTCGTATATAGGGTGAAGGGGCAGCCGAAGTCTGGGGCATGCAGGACCGGGGAGGACGTCAGAGCCGTCTTGAGGGCCTGGAAGGCGGCTTCGGTCTTGGGAGTCCAGTCTATCCTCTCCGGCTGCCCCTTCCTGGTAAGGTCTGACAGGGAGCAGGCTATAGAGGAGAAGTTAGGTATGAAACACCGGTAGTAGCCCTCCAACCCCAAAAATGCCCGTACCTGCGTCTTGTTGGCGGGACGTGGGAACTTCTTTACCGCCTCGACCTTCTTTTCCTGGGGCATGATGAGCCCCCTTCCAATCTTGTACCCCAGGTATTTTGCTTCGGTGAGGCCGAGGTGGCACTTCTTGGGGTTGGCAGTCAGGCCAGCCCGCCGGAGCTCTGTCAACACCCTCCGTAGATGCTCCAGGTGAGTCTCCCAGCCCTCAGAGTGTATAACGATATCATCCAGGTAAGCCGTGGTGTAGGCTTGGTTGGGCCGGAGCAAGATGTCCATCAACCGCTGGAACGTGGCTGGTGCCCCGTGTAGGCCGAAGGGTAGCACCCGGTAATGCCAGTGGCCATTGGGACTGCTAAAGGCTGTCTTCTCCCGGGACTCCTGGGAGAGGGGCACCTGCCAATATCCTTTGGTGAGGTCCAAGGTGCTGATGTATCGAGCCTTGCCCAGCCGGTCCAAGAGCTCATCCACCCGCGGCATGGGATAGCCGTCAAAGGCGGAAACTTGATTGACCTTCCTGAAGTCATTACAGAACCGGAGGGTGTTGTCCGGCTTTGGAACCATCACTATGGGGCTGGCCCAAGGGCTACGAGAGGGTGATTCCCGGTTGGAGCATCTTCTTGGCTTCCTCCTCTATAGCTGGCTGGCGAGTTTCTGGTATCCGGTAGGGCCGCTGCCGGACTACGACTCCTGGTGGTGTGCGCACCTCGTGCTCGATGACCGTGGTTCTACCCGGGGTCTCACTGAACACATCCTGGAACTGACTGACCAGGGCCTCGAGTTCCGCTTTCTGGGTCGCCGACAGCTGCGGTTCCACGTCCACTACTGGAGGCCCGGTATGGGCCAGCGCGTCGAGTTGCTCGGGCCGGGGAGCCCACTTCTTGAGCAAGTTGACGTGGTAGATTTGCTCCGTCTGTAGGCGGCCAGGTTGCCGCACCCGGAACGTCACTGGTCCCATCCGTTCCACTACAGTGTAGGGCCCCTGCCAGGTCGCTAGGAATTTACACGCAGCTGTCGGGACCAGTACCACCACCCGATCACCTGGCTGGAACTCCCGGGCCTGGGCGGGCCGGTCGTACAGGCGTTGCTGGATGCGCTGGGCGGTCACGAGGTGTTCTTTAACCAGAGGCATGACTCGGTCAATCCTTTCCCTCATTTCCCGCACGTGCTTGACGAGGCTACGAAGGGGAGCGGGTCGGTTCTCCCACGCTTCCCGAGCAACGTCTAGAAGGCCCCTGGGCTGTCTCCCAAACAGCAGTTCGAAGGGGGTGAAGCCTGTGGAGGCCTGTGGTATTTCCTGGACTCCAAAGAGCACATACGGGATCATGAGGTCCCAGTCACGCCCATCTTCGATCACCACCCGCTTCAGCATCCGTTTGAGCGTCTGGTTAAACCGCTCCACCAAGCCATCCGTCTGCGGGTGGTAGACCGACGTCCTCAGCTGTTGGACCTTGAGGAGGTGACAGAGGTCCGCCATGACCCGGGACATGAAGGGGGTACCCTGGTCAGTCAGGATTTCCTTTGGGATCCCGACTCGGCTGGCCAGCAGGAATAGTTCTTGGGCAATGTTCTTGGCGTTGGCCGCCCGAAGAGGAATGGCTTCCGGGTACCGGGTGGTATAGTCCAGGATAACCAGGATGTGCTCATGTCCCCGGGCAGACTTCGGCAGCGGTCCCACCAGATCCATCCCGATCCGCTCGAAGGGCACATCGATGACGGGTAGTGGAATGAGTGGGCTGGAGGGAGGACGACAAGGAGACATCTGCTGGCAGGTGGGACAGCTACGCCAGAAACGTTTCACTTCCACCTCTAGACCGGGCCAGTGGAAACGGTCCCTGATGTGTTGGACGGTATTTTCGGCCCCTAGGTGCCCCTCCATTGGGTGGCCATGTGCCAGCTCCATGACTGTCTCTGTCTTGGTGGTAGGCACGACCAGGAGGAATTTGTCCTCCCCCCGCCTGTGGGCGACACAGTACAGCAGACCATTTCTTATTTCAAAATGAGGGAGGGGGTGTGGGCCCGGAAGCCTGTCTACCTCATCAACGCGGCGCACTTGATCCCAACAGTTTCGCAGGCGGTCGTGCTCGCGTTGCTCCCTTCCGAATGAGCCCCTGGTCGTGACCTGTGAAAACACATCGAGGTAGACAGACGGAAGATTAGCGGGCTGACACTCACCCTCCCTCTCGCTGTCCGTCGCTAGGTAGGCCGGCCTTGGGCTGGGCGGTCCCCGATGGGTTTGCCGTGGCCCGTTCCGGGCGGTACGGCCTGGCATCCTGGGTCCGAGGAGGAGCTTCTGGAACCCCGGCCAGTCCCGTCCCAGGAGCAGAGGTACAGGGAGATCCTGCACAATGCCCACCTCGATGGCCCAGGTCCCGGGTTCCGCTGAAATCCACACTGTGCGGGCCGGCACATAGCGGGTGTCTCCGTGCACACACGTCAGTGGCAACTTTGACTTCTGTTTGGGCCTTGGTTGTACCAGGGTAGGTTGCACTAGGGTGACTGAACTGCCGGAATCCAACAAGGCCTGTACTGGTTTCCCCTCTAGCTTTACCATCCGGCTGGGGCCAGGGGAAAGTCCGTCCTGATGCAGGAAACACCCGGCCATCCAGGCTCGGGCCATCGGTGCTGGGGGTTCAGTGTGCATCGGCTCATCCACAAAGTCAGGGAACGCCGGTCTGCTGCCTGGTCGCGGTGCACCTTCGAGCAGAAGCCGCTCCACCACCCTGCGGGGCGCCAGGCCTGCTCTCTCCCCTGCCTCGTGGGCGTTCGTCATCACCGCCAGCTCGACCGCTTCCACCAGACTGTGGATGTCCTGGGGATTTCGCATACTGACCGGGCACCTCAGCAGGCGGGGCAGCGCCTGTAGCAGCCGATCGATGAGGACTTTCTCCGCGACCTGGTCAGCGGTAGGGGACCCGGCGAGAAGCCACAGGTGAGCCAATCGGGCCAGTTGCGCAACTTGCGCTCTCACTGTCTGCCGTTCATCATAGGTCCATTGGTAGAATTGTTGCGCTGCCACCATGGGAGACAGGCCCACCCTGGCTAGGACGGAAGATTAGCGGGCTGACACTCACCCTCCCTCTCGCTGTCCGTCGCTAGGTAGGCCGGCCTTGGGCTGGGCGGTCCCCGATGGGTTTGCCGTGGCCCGTTCCGGGCGGTACGGCCTGGCATCCTGGGTCCGAGGAGGAGCTTCTGGAACCCCGGCCAGTCCCGTCCCAGGAGCAGAGGTACAGGGAGATCCTGCACAATGCCCACCTCGATGGCCCAGGTCCCGGGTTCCGCTGAAATCCACACTGTGCGGGCCGGCACATAGCGGGTGTCTCCGTGCACACACGTCAGTGGCAACTTGGATTTCTGCTCGAACCTTGGTCGTACCAGGGTAGGTTGCACAAGGGTGACTGAACTGCCGGAATCCAAGAAGGCCTGTACTGGTTTCCCCTCTATCTTTACCATCCGGCTGGGGCCAGGGGAAAGTCCGTCCTGATGCAGGAAACACCCGGCCAGCCAGGCTCAGGCCGTCGGTGCTGGGGGTTCCGTGGGCATTGGCTCATCCACAAAGTCGGGGACCGCCGGTCTGCTGCCGGGTCGCGGTGATCCTTCGAGCGGATGCCGCTCCATCACCCTGCGGGGAGCCAGGCCCGCTCTCTCCCCTGCCTCGCGGGCGTTCGTCGCCGCCGCCAGCTCGACCGCTTCTACCAGACTGTGGATGTCCTGGAGATTTTGCATACTGACCGGGTATGGAACGGCAGCGCCCGTAGCAGCCGATCGATGAGGACTTTCTCCGCTACCTGGTCAGCGGTAGGGGACCCCACGAGAAGCCACAGGTGAGCCAATCGGGCCAGTTGTGCAGCTTGCGCTCTCACTGTCTGCCGTTCATCATAGGTCCATTGATAGAACTGTTGCACAGCCCCCATGGGAAACAGGCCCACCCTGGCTAGGATTTCGGCTTTGAGCTCGTCATACTTTTCATTCCGGGGTGCCCGCAGGGCATAATAGGCCCGCTGCGCTTCTCCGGTGAGGAAGGGGATGATGATGCGAGCCCACTCTTCTTTGACCCACCCCTCCCGGGCCGCAATAACCTCAAACGTGTAGGGAGGTAAGCCTCGATGTCGTCGTTCTCGGTCAACCGAACGAGGTATTGGTGCGCTTTGACCGGCGTTTCCGGGAGGGGCAGGCGCCCCGTCACGCTGGCCTGCAGCTGTTCCATGACCCAGTCAGTATACTCCTGCCAAGCTGCCAGTCGTTCGGTAAACTGCTGCTGGCGGGCCGAGAGCTCCGTTAGGCGGCGGATGACCTCTTCCATGTGTCCGGGGGAAGAGAGCGGTTTCTTCTAGAAGAAGCACAGAGATCGTTACAGCAACTTGGCGGTACAAGTCTGTGTCTCAATTCACCTGTATTGCCCGCATTCTCCACCATATGTCGCGGGGTGAATGAGAACACAGACTTGGTACTGATAGAAAGAGCCCCGGAGGGTGATTTATTGCCCACACACTGATCACACGTGCTCGAAGGAATGGTGCTCGGTCCCCATCTTAACGTGGTGCTCGTGGGGTGAAGTGCCGTGGTGCAGATCCCTCTCCTGGGGTGCCGTCGGAGTCTGTGAATAAGGAGAAACAAGCATTAATGTCGCCTGGAGCTCTGGGGTGCCTTCCCGCTGGTGTCTCTTCTCCTGGATTTTATGGCCAGCTCCATAGCAATATGAACAAGCTCCAGGTGCGCCACTCATCACGCACAGGTGTTGTGCTTCTGTGATCAGTGTGGCAGTGGCGTTTCCAGGGCGACGCTGATTTGGACCCGGGATACTCGCCACAATATTCAGAAATATGCATTTAGGCTACATATGTGCACACGATCTGTACGTTATGTGTGAGTGTTGTGTATGTGTGCAGCAATGTAGCAGCACATTAGTTTCGGGCGGAGATTAACTACCTGTACAATAAACTGTTTAAAATCTGAATTCACCCAGTCAATATTGAGTATCCACCTGCTACAAACAAACATGCTTGAGATATACTCGTCCTCCCGCACTCGTCCATTGCCGTCATTATAACCTAAACATTCTTTTCTGATTTGAGTGATCCACATATCTGTCAAGCTAGCTAATGATGTTTAATGTGTGACTTCTTGATAAAATGCAGTTATATTATGGGCTGTTGGCATTAAATGTGCTCGTGATGGAGCGGTAGTGGAGCATGCTCAGAGAGAGTGAAAAACCATGACGCTCCTACTTTCAAAAAATCCACTCCTCACTCAGTCAAAAATCACACCGCTCCACTCTACTCCGCTCACATAATCTGGTGGGCAGCCACTTCTGCTGCGGCATCCGGGGAGGAGTTTGGGGTTTGGTTCTTGCTCGTGGTATTGAGGGTGAATGAGAGCGCTGTTCATTCACTCCCCCCACAGTCAATCCCTGGCGGTACCGAGACTCAAACCCATGACCTTTGGGTTACAAGCTTGGCTCTGTAACCAATAGTAACCTGTATAACAAGATAATTGTGAAAAATTAATAATTATGAATTACAATTGATACTGGCCTCATATTTCTCTTACCCATCTTTACACTACATATGTATATAAACTATAATACTAAAATGCATGATTGAGTGATGAAAAAACGTGTCTAAATAAAGACCACAAACACTTTTGAAACTTTTCGCCTGTTTTGTTATTGATGGACGTCACAGGTGTCATTTGCAATAATTTATACTAGCTAGCTTCCCTTTCTCTGTTAAACTCCCCGTCACAAAAATTAGACTTTAATATGTTTTCAATGTGATTTTAGCTCTGCTGAAATACGTCAAAGCATGGAGTTTATTTTACAGAATCTTCTTATGGTGAATTTTACACAAAGGCAGAAGTTGTTAGGTGTGTGAATTGTGAGGTTTTAGTTTTCTTTTTCAGCTGTAGTTGCTGCTGTTGTTTTAAGTAGAGTTTGAAATGTTTACTTCCTTTCATCACTGATGTTCAGACTCTTATTCTTTCAGTTTCTTCTTTATAAAGTCACATGCCAACTGGCAAGTTTTCATTTATTAGTTAATGAATGAATTCCCTGTTTGTGCGTAAGACAGACATCTCACTCTTTCATTCTGTTTTCAGGTCCTCAAACCTCAAATCTTCTGTGCTCGATATTGAACCGCTGCTGAAGTGTCAGTCTTGCGTCCATATAGCTGATCCAGATCAGTGGGTTCAGATTGAGCCGTCGGCCTGTACAGATAAAGGAGTTTCAAAGTTCAGGATCAGTACTCGGCCAGGCCGTTACGAGTGTGTCAGGACCAGGATGCGATGGGTCAGTGATTATGACGTCACCCTTCAGTATCACACCGTAGACGGACACTTCCTCAACAAAGAGCTGGAGAAGCTGCAGTGCAACCGGATCGCTCCAGTGATGGACGTGACGGTGATCTCAGGGAAACTGGAGGAAGTTCATCTGCCACATTACGCCTGTTTAGGAGAGTCTGGAGCTTCCCTCAGAGATGCTGTGAAAGTCCTCAGTGTAAAAGATGAGGGAATAACCACAGAACCAGTGAAGTTGACACGATTCCATGCTAAGATTGTCAAACCATCCTTCTCTCTTAAAACATTAATTATAAGTTGGATAATGGGATGGGATGAACACTGCGATCTTCTTCTCTACATGCGCGCTAAAGATCCTCTCATTCTACACGTCTACTTTTTTCCATTTGATGATTGTGCGAAAGAAAAAGTTGAGAAGATTGAAAAATCAAGTTATTGGATCTTGCATCCCAGACCTGACAGGCCGTTTCGGATGAAAACTCCACACAGTCTTGATGTTCCTGGCGCTTCTGTCCATCCCAAAGAAGGGATCACATTCAGAAGAGAAACTGACCCAAATTTCTTCAAGATCAGGAGCAAGACACATCTGGAGAACGATTTTCATATGAGTCTGATCAGAGAGGAGGACAAGAAGATTGTCTGGAGTGCAACACTTGAGAAAGAGGAACTTGATCAGATTCATCCACAGAGACACGAGTCGCGTCCACAGAGAGAGGAGTTGCGTCCACAGAGAGAGGAGTCGCGTCCACAGAGAGACGAGTCGCGTCCACAGAGAGACGAGTCGCGTCCACAGAGAGACGAGTCACGTCCACAGAGAGAGGAGTCGCGTCCACAGAGAGAGGAGTCGCGTCCACAGAGAGATGAGTCACGTCCACAGACAGAGGAGTCGCGTCTGAATAGTGAGGCAGGTAAAGCAAGATATTTTGACAACCACTGGCCAGATCTCATTCAGAAGGTCACAGATTTTAGGATTATTGCAGATAAACTGCGTCAGCAGGACATAATTCATGAGGAACAATATTCAGAAATCAGACAGAGTTTAACCAGTCAGGACGGCATGAGAACGATCTGTGACATTATACGTAAACACGATGATGCTGTGAAAGCTAAACTCATCTCAATTCTTCAGGAAGAGAAGCTTTACCACTTTTAAAACATTGGTCTGATTTTACATTTAGGGCTCGAGGAGCATCTTTTTAAACTTAACGTTTCAAAACAGCAACCTCAGTCCGAAGGCTCGTCCTCTAGAAAAAAAATGGTTTATCAAAATATACTTAGTCAGCAATTAAATCTTTCAAAATATTAAGTGATTGTAACATTACAAATAAATCTCAGGTTTTGTATGTCTAAGTTAATGGCAGGTAAACTGTCAAAGCAAATTTAGAGGAAAATTTATATTTATGTTTATCTAAATGTGTATTTCATGCTTGTACATATGTTTTATACATCAGAAATTCAACAACATTTTGAGATATTTCAGTTTTTTTTTTTTCATTTTTAGTTTAGTTTAGTTTAACATCAACTTAACCTGTTAACCCGCACCTGGACGCCGACACACTGAAAGCTCTTTTTTTGCACGTGTCAATGTTTGCGTATAGATAAAATGAAAAGGGACATAATTAATCTTTACAAACTATATATCATTCTAAAGGTCTAAGCCTCAAGCATCGACGATAGATCGCCGTTTTTCAATGGAAAGCTTATAAAGAATGTATTTGCTAAATTTGTGTAAGCAGTACACATCAAAACATCCAAAATAAAAACGCAGTACGTACCAGATTTATCATAATAACGAGTCATAAACGCATCCACTGCTGTAAATCCCTGACTGTATGACCTATCAGTGTGAATGCTGTATGTCTGGAAATCAGAGTATGTACTTGAAATACAAAGCTTCTTGTTTTTTCTTATTATTACTAAAAATTATTCTTATTGTATTTTTCTAGTGCTCAAATAAATCACTTATACAATGTCTAAGATTCAGTCTATTATTTTATAATTGAAAAAGTATGCAGTGGTATGTATAATGACTAAAATAGTTTGTAGAACCCTTACATCTGCAAGGGTTACATTTGGTGGCTATTTTTCCTCAAACGTATGGTGGGGGGGGACTAGACATAGTCTCAGAATAATGGCTGCAGGAATCTCATTTTTCATGGTATCTTCTTCAAATTTGAAATATATACTCATGAGACATGTGACTTTCAAGCCATTACTTTTCTGGATTGCTCAAGGACTGATTTCATGTATTTGTATATGAAATAATAAAAAAACATCAGTGTGGTAAACAAGTTTTCAAGGCACTTCATTGTCTATAACATTTTATCTTTTTGAGCATTATCAACTGATGGATAATAAAGCCTAACGTGTCTTCTTTCCAAAGATACCTAAATTGTGTGTGTAGCACACTGTGTTCAGGAACTGTTACCATTGTAAGTTAGGTATGTCATTTTCAGGTGTGAGTCCCAAAATGGGGGGAGCAGGTTAACAGGTAAAACTAAATAATGAAATGAAAATTAAAAAATGTTGCCTTGGTAACTAGCTGAAATAAGTTTTACGTTTTTATATTTAATTTCAGTTAACACTTATTTTATTTCAAGTAACAAAATGTTTAATGGTTTCAGTTTTAGTTAACTATAACAACCCTGACTAATTAATGTCAGATTAATTTCAGCCTTATAAGGGGGGGGCATTTGACTGATATTTCACACATATTATTTTATTTATTTATTTATTTATTTCACACTGTATATGTTCCCACTGAGCCAAATAATGAGAAAGAAGCAATCTGCCTATGCAGATGACACCCAGATTTATCCTAGCCTTATCACCTAATGACTACAGCCCCATTTTCTGACTGAGTTTAGAAACAAAGATGAAGTTCTCAAGGGGTCAAACAACTGAAAATCAAGTCAGGAATCTTGGTGTGATT